GTGGTCGCGGGAGCGGGGCGGAGAAAAAAGAGGGGGGGGGGGGGGGGGGGGGGGGGGCAGAAGCAGCATAGGGGAAGACAGTGGGCAGTGCCACCACCCCTCACCCCCCTAAGGAGGAGCAACAAGGGGCAGGCAACAGCTGTGGCTCTGGCCCTGGTCCAGAGCCAGAGCCATAGAAGCTGCCTATCTCATGCTGCCTCGCACTTGATTCCAAGATGAGGGGCCTCACCCTACCATGTTAAATGGGGGGCAAAAAACCTTGTCTTGGAATTGAGTAAATACAACAAAAATTCTGGACTGAGGTTTCTGCAATTGACAGCTTTATTATAACTTAAAAAGCAACTGGAATCTCTGGACAAATAATGTGCCCAGGCCATCTGTCTTTGGAGCAAAAGGCAGAAATGAAATTAAGATATAAACATACAAAGGTCACAAGCTAACAGATGCTAGTTACATGGACATACCTGAATGATAGCCAAATACCAGACAACTGGATTTTTCTGAAATACACCGACATCAGTTTGTTGCAAGTACTATTGGCAAGTCTGCCAATGAAAAAAGTTGATTTAAAAGTTCATTATGGAAAGCTCTGAATAATAACTAAAGAGCTATGACTAAAAGAAAAAAAAATTACCAGTCACTGAGATGAAAGGTCGCAAAGGACATTTTTTGTAAGAAAGTCTTTTAAAACAGCTTTAAAATGGTCAAAGTATTTGATTTGTAGAACTTGAACATATTCAAGGCAAGGATAAAACACCCTTCTGAAAGGCCAGGGGGGAAAAAAAATAAAAATAAAAATCTACATTTAGAGTCTGGACTGGCTGTGCAAACAAATGTACTTCATAGACATTCGGGCTGAAAGGGACCCTGGAGGATTGAGTCCAGCCCCTAGTACTTAGTCAGCACTAGTACTCTACTCACAAAGCAAGTAATTGTTTCCTCTGAGTAACCATCATCTCTCACTTTTCATAACATAGTAGGGCTCACAGAAACCTGGTGGGATTCATCTCACGACTGGGCAGTTAACATTAGGGGCTATAGACTATACAGGCAGGATAGAACAGGGAGGAAAGGCGGGGGTGTGGTGCTCTACGTGAAAGAGCAATACATATCCTCAACTAGCAGGATAGGGTCTGAGGAGGGGCAGGCTGAAGTGCTCTGGGTCAGGATACAGGGGGGTCTACTACAGACCTCCCAACCAAGGGGAAGAGGCTCACCAAGGGCATTTGGGAATGCCCGATTGCCAAAAAGAAGGCGTACACACAGTGGAAGGAAGGGGCTATCACCAAAGAGGAGTATACCTCCACCGCTCGGGTCTGTAGGGGGGCTGTTAGGAAAGCTAAGGCAGATACAGAACTAGGGCTAGCATCAAGGATAACAAAAAGTCCTTTTTTAAATACATAGGGAGTATGAAGAAGGCATGGGGTAATGTGGGGCCCCTGCAGGATATGCTTGGCAATCTGGTGGTTGCACCAGAGGAGAAAGCAGACCTCTTTAACCATTTCTTTGCCTACATTTTCTTGTACAGGGACCAGGACTCCCCCACCGAGATCCAGGACGGACTCAGGAGAGACTCTGCCAGGCCTAGGGTCAAGGAGGACCGAGTTACGGAACTTCTGGAGGGGCTGGACGTGTTCAGATCAGCAGGTCCAGATGCTCTCCACCCCAAGGTCTTGAAGAAATTGGCAGGGGTTATCACAGGACCCCCGGCACGGCTTTACAAGCATTCATGGTACTCTGGCCAGGTGCCGGACGACTGGAAGAAGGCCAATGCGGTCCCCATCTTTAAAAAAGGGAAGAGGGAGGACCCGGGCAACTATAGGCCCATTAGTCTTACTTCAATCCTGGGGAAGCTCTTTAAGAAGATTATCAAGGAGCACATCTGTGATGGGCCAGCAGCAGGGATGATGCTCAAGGGCAACCAGCATGGTTTCCATTAGGGGCAGGTCCTGTCAGACCAACCTGATTGCCTTCTATGATCAGGTCACAAAATCATTGGACACAGGTACCGCAGTGGATGTAGTCTTTCTGGACTTCAGGAAGGCCTTTGACACCATCTCCCAACCCATTCTCATTAAAAAGCTAGGCGACTGTGGCACTGATGCCTACACAGTCAGATGGATTAAAAATTGGCTGAGGGGTCATACTCAGAGAGTGGTGGTGGACAGGTCATATTCAACCTGGAGGGAAGCGGACAGTGGAGTCCCCCAGGGCTTGGTCCTTGGGCCCGCACTGTTCAATTTCTTTATTAGCGACTTGGATGACGGGGTGAAAAGCACCCTGTTTAAATTTGCAGATGACACCAGGATTTGG